GGACCCATGAAGTATGTAGGAGCCTTGATGTCAGTGTAAAAATATCAAACTTGTGGAACTTGATGGTGTTCCACACTTGTGGGTACCTATCCACCAACCCTTTTGTAAATAACCTTTTCTCCTCTAATATCGTCCTCAACCATGCAACATTGAGTCTGTTCAACGTCTGAGGAAGGGGTGTCTGTATTAGGGATGTTGGAGGCACCTTCTCAACGATATTCTGACGAGATTATGTAGCTCTTTAGAGCGCAACTCAACTTGCCTACTTTGCAAAATCTTATCATCTACCGAATTAAACACAAAAATTAGCAATATAGATCTTGAGTTGCCCTCACTATCAGAACTCTTATATGGTGAAGTGGGAGTTATAGATTCCCATACTATTGTACCTCGTCTCTACTAGAATTGGCTAAGTAGTTCCATTTCCCTTGTTTTTGTTCTTACCCAGGTCACAGGAAGTTTGACTTGTGTGGCTTACGAGTAAGAAACATCCTTATTGATAACTATACCTTGTGCTCGCTTCTGGGGTGGTTGATTTATATAGGAACCTTGGGTTTGTCCATATATTTAAAACAACCCATAGGAAAAAAATTTATTAGAAATGGGTCAACAAAAGTCATAGTTTAAAGGACTTCAGAAAAATCGCCGACTAATTTGCTGAGTCGTCAAACTCATTCGACGAGCTATGTCGGGCTCACTAATTTTTCTAGGATAAAACTTGACATAAATGAATACAAGTCGGTGAGGTGAAGGGCCTTTCGGTGATTCATCAAACTCATTCGATGAACTAAAAGTATCTCCAAAAAGTTATATAATATTTTCTCAAAATTGGCATGACAATTGGCGACGATGGAGACATCCGATAAGTCGCTAAGTGAACTAGGGGAGCTCAGGAATATTGTCGAATTTTATAGAAATAATTAATCAAAAATGAAGAATAATAAGGCGATGAAGGGGCCACTTGGCAAACCGCCGATCCATTTGGCGAGCTCGACTAAGCTCGCTGATTTGTCTTTCATGCCAATTTCTGACCTAAACTTTCAATTTTCAACCTAAACCTATGATAATGAAATTCAACAACTTTTATATGAAATTAAATTAGTACTCGTATGAATACAACTTGGAGTGCTTACACTTCCCCTAATTTTGTCTAAAATCAACCAATCAATCTATTTTACTCGTGAAAATGAAGTCACCCACTCTATCATAGGGAAAAATCACTCGATCATTACAATATGGGTTACTCACAATCTACCCTTTCTAGAGACAACATACAAATTACACACACTCACTATTAAAATCATTCAACTTACAAAACTCAACAATTATAGGCTAAAACGCTCACACAAACATTATACAATAGTAGCCCTTACTTTAAATTTAACTAATTATACAAGATTTAACAATAGGGTCAACAATATTATGAGAGTTCATCGTAAACCACTAAATGTAAGCCAAGTTTAGGACACCAACCTCTAAAATGGACAGAAAAATGCTAGGCTAGCGAATACAGAAGTAAAAATGCAAGATTTCTCTTAGCAATTACTTCCCACGCTGAAATTACCAGCAAAATATATTATAGAAATGGATTATAAGAGTGTAAAAGTTGAAAAATATGAAAACAAAGAAAATTTGAATTTGATACAGTTAATATACTTTTTGACCCTTCAGTTCGCGTCTGAGTCAGCGATATCAACTTATAACACTGAACATTTGGCGCATCACCGAATGGTTTGTAGCCACCCGAATTTTAGAGATATCAAGTCTTTTGGTTGGGAAAAAAGTTGGTCCAGATCGGGTTTGCTAACCTATTCAGCGAGTCACCGAATGGAACCTAAGCTCCCCCAACATTTCCAAAATTTCAAATTTTCACCCTACACATTGAACACCCGTTATTTAATAAACAACATGAAAAACTAAAAACTTGGGCTGCCTTCAAAGAAGTTCCTCATTTAATGTGTGGCACGATTAATACAATGTTTTAAGCTTCATTCTTTGGTTTCACCATGGTATGACTCGGTAAGTCAGTTTTTTGTCTTGGATTTTAATGAGTTGAGATTTGATCCATTTGTGTTTCCAACTACTTAATCGTACCGAATGTGATGTAACAGTCTGGTTTATAAAGAGACGTCATTTTTCTTATTTCTTTTTGCAGCTTGTCCGATCCTTATACTTCCATTTTTTATTCTCAAATTCGTACCATGGTCACGACATTTCCTATTTTGATCTCTTCAACCGTCATCACACTCTCAGTTCGTACCTTGGTTTCCGCCTAACCTTGGATAGTTTGGGTTGAAACCTCATCTCGGATTTGCCAAAAACTATAGATCCTCATTTTTACTTCAAAGCCTTAATACCACTTCCAATAACATGTTTTGACAATATATCTATTTGGGTCATCATCTTAACCATGTTTTCATCACACTCCTGGTCCTTTACTATTTGTTCCTTTGTCATCTTGAAGTTTAAAGGATAAACTTGATCTTCCCTAGTTTGCCAAGAAAATTTAATCTTTGTCGTCCTATGAAGAACAGTATATGCTATTTCAAATGGTTTTTGCATAATCCCCCCTTGAACGAGCTGGTCAACCACACCCTTATTGACTGAATATAAACTCCTTTAGAAGTGTTGCAATAAAACATTGTTCTGGGGATAATGAGTTTAACACTGGAGTAGCACCTTCCAAAACCTCCGCCATGTCTCATGAATTGGTTCATCATCCTATCATTTGAAATTCTGAATATTATCTCTCAATGCCATCATCTTCGAGGGAGGGAAAAACATTACATAGAATGCATTTGTGAGCTCCTCCCAAGAAGTAATTGAGTCATTTGGTATGTCTTCTAACTACTTTATTGCCTCTCCCATTAGAAAAAAAGGGAACAAAAGAAAAGGGAATGACTCCCGATTAATGTTCTTGAAGAAAACGACCTACACACATCTACAAGTTTTGTATGTGGTCATAAGGATCCTCAGAAGATAAACATACAAATAAACCCTTCAATTGCAACAACTGGAACATAGTGTTAGTCATATTAAATACCACATTGAACACAACCGAAGATAATAGAATATCACCAACCCTTTCCGACTAGTTTTCTTTCAAATCATGCAAGTTACAAATGTCATCATTGTGTCCAAGTTGGATAGCATAACTCCCATTAATACTCATCTTGTCACCAGTTTAAGAGAAGCAAATGACAAACAAAAATATTTTGACTAACCTACAAAAAGATTATTTCAAAACTAAACTTCTCCTAAAGAATTCTAAATACCACTCCCCGACAACGACACTATTTTTATGCCGCTCAACTACACTTCATCCGATTCTAAATGTAGGCAGTAACAATCAAGTATAGACCCAATTAAAATGTTGGTGTTTATCCCACATGGAGTGGTACAAAAAAAAATTCAATTACAAAGTGAAATGAGTGTTCTAATCGTTTGTAGGATTTAATATTTTCGAAGAAATTAAAGTAAATGTTAGGGATTTGATAACTAATGTACTTTTCAATCTAGATTAGTAGGATTGCAATCATACCCACTTTATCTAGCTAAATCCTTAATAACCCAATTAACATGATTATCTGTTAATATGTTTAATTCTAAAACCTCTTTCTTAAGAAATCTTTGAATGCTAAACTAGAATTGCATTTGCTACTATAATTCATCAATTAAAACTTTACTATTTATTGAACCCACTTCAATCCAATAATAAAATGAGTAAATACTAACAACCAAAAGATAATTATAACATTCAATCTCATGATCACACCCCCAAGAATGGGGTATTATCCAAACATAATAAAGAGCAAGAAATCATTACCAAGTATGTTTTCCATCAGCTTGGGAATTAATCCACGAGTCTTGAAAATAACTTATACTTCTATGTCAACTCAAAAACTGAAAGACCTGTGTTAGCGATCAAAAACCCAAAACTAGAAATATGGAAACTTTCCAAAAACATTAGAACTCTTGAACACCATTTGAAATATGCATTTAAACCTTCCTAGATTTTCATCTTCGGAGCCACTCGATGAAATTAGTAAGGATTCACCGTCCATTACAACGATCCACTGAGTGCTCATTCCATGCCCTTCTTAGGTTGGATTTTTATCACTTATCATTTGTGACTTTAGGCAAAATTACCATTGCAAATCTATCTGGTGCTTCGCCAAAACACTATTCTCCTTGCCTTGTTGTCTTTGTCCATGGATTGGCCTACTGTAACCTTTGGTAAGATGAAGAGCCACTCTATGAATTGCGGAGTGTCTTTGGCGAGCATCAGCCTTGTTTTTCTTCAACTTTTAAATTTTTTTTGCTCCTTTTAGGTCAGTAATATTCTTGCCTTGATCTTTTGCCTTCATTGGTCCAAATTAGCATTTTAACATCATTCTAGAGCATAAAAATAAGAATTAAGGACACTAAAACTCTAAAAAAGTAACACTCAAAATCTAATAGCTTGAGCAAGGGAATAGGTGAAAAGTCACAAGCCAAAAAATTGAGTAGCAACCTTCACATGGGCCCAGATTGGTTGTGACGAGCACCGCGAGGGGTGGTGTTCCCACTGGTGGTTCACAGGGTTCATCCAAGGAAGTATCCTATCTTATGAGCACCCAAATGGATTTTAAAGAGCTCAAGAGTTTGTGGTGATATCCGCGGAGGGGAGACAATTATTAACCAAAAACTAGAGCCTCTACACGAGCCACTAGGAAACTCGTGAGAGACTTGACGACTCATAAAGTTGGTCATTGTAAAAAAGGGATTTAAGGGTTTTCAAATCAAGCCAATGTTAAAGGACCATACTTCTACTATGGATCGTTTCCTTGATGGCTTGTGACGAACCTTGTGTGGGGGTTCGACAAATTTTTTTTATTAAGGCTTATATGAATCTTTTCCAAATATCTATAAATCAAAATTTTGTCATTTCACCTATGTCTAGGATCCCTATATAAGTCATTTTAACACCAAAACTTACCCATTCAAGTCATTTTCTTAAATTTACCAAAAAGAAATTGTGTTCTTCCTCTCCAAGATATTTCTCTCTCTATCTAGAAGTTTGAAGAAGAATATTAAATCTAAGGTTCAAGCTTTGAGTCTCCATTCTCTCTAATCTCTTATGTTTTAATAATAAGGTATGTTAGCTTTTCATCTATTGAGTCCTTGCATCCATGGAGAGGGTTAGGGTTTCCTTCAAAGTTGTGGGTATTGTGAATGTTTATTCAAATTGAATTATGATTGTTTATGCATGAATTGAGAGGATTCTACTTTTATGATGAATTTCCTTGTACCCATGCATGCATCTAAGAAGAAATTGATGTCAATGAGTTTTATGCTATGATTGGAGAATTTATGAATTTAGATGTATTCTCATAGGATTAATAAGGTACATTATGAATTGATTTGAGATTTAATCATATGTGATTATTATAAGAATGAATTTGAGAGCAAATCTTATGAATTAATTATTGATTGTTGATCGGTGATGTTATTGTTACAAAAGGGATTTTCCCACATGATTCTTTTATGTATGTATGGGTGTGAAAGGCTTTCTCACATTGAATTATCTTAGGTTTAAAGGATTTCCCATATAAAATCAATCTAAGTTATAAGATTATGAAATTGATGAGGCAAGAGGCGATTATCGATGACCTCTAAATTAGAATAAAATATGAGTCAATTACCCATATTCCTTATAATAGAATAAGAGGTGACTACACCATACATGAAGTTGAAAAATAGGCAACTACCCACAATCCTATGATGTAATTTGGAAAAGATGCAACTATTCATGATCCTTAATACAAAGTGGGCAAGAGGAGACTATCCATGATCCCAATGTAAGAACGATAAGAGGTGACTATCCATGATCCTTTATACTTAGGAAAATCGAGGCTCTCCATGTTTTTAAAAGTAAGCTATACAATGTAAAATGTAATGATGAATGATTAACTTGGACTGTTGCTAGGGTGCTTTCTATTATTAGTAAGACTAGAGGTGGTTACAGAAGTCTTGACTAAGGATGATTGCGGTTATTTCAAGAATTACTCTTCACATGATATGATGATCCATTATGTTCATTGATTATGCTTTATCACTTATGTTGTCTAATGCTTATGTTTATGTGTTGTTTATGAAAGCTATCATATTTTTATATCTATGTAGTAACACATACCTACATTTCTTATCAAAATGCAGGGTCCACCAATCTCGATTCTCCTCGCAGTCGCTAGGATCCTTAGTATAGGCAGGAATGAAGATAGGTGAGTCGTCATACCATTAGAGAATATTGCCACTAATTTTCTTATGATATTTTCATTTTAGGTTTGAACATTGTTGTATGGCCTGTATCCAAGATTTTATTGTATTAGATGGATTTTAATACAAGTGTATTAGACTTCCTCTACGATATGATAACTTTAATTGTGTTCAAATTGTTTTAAATCCCAGCGATTTCTATTATCCAAACTATGAAAGCTAAGTGTCTTGTATGAGGCCTCTTGGGGTCTTGTACGCCATGTTATATCTAGGGGGTACCTAAGAGTCAGGAGAAACTTGGTAATGAGAGCACAAGATCTATTATGTTTCAGTGATATCTCAAAACCACTTCAACTAGAGCTTGTTCATAAGTGTGAAGGGCGCCACATTTATTAATGAGATCCTACAAGATACTTAGGAAAGTTTTCTTCTTTCTTCACTCTAAGTCATGCAATAATGTTTCCCTTCTAATCCTTACCTGATGGTCTACATGATATAACTACCCGAAGAGATTTTGATAGAAGGAATGAGGGAGATAATTAAGTCAAGAAGATCCTCCTCAATCTTTGGTTGACTTTTTGGGAGGCAGGTGACTAATGTAGAGTTTAAAAATACTTTTCAAGTGTTGGATCTCGCCGAGATGATCCAAGCCAATAAGGATTTTATGGTCCCTATGAAATCAAATATGTGTACGACGATATCTAGAGTGAGGGATTTCACTAGGATGAATCCTACAAAATTCTATGGTTCTAAGGTGGAAAAGATCCTCAAAGTTCATTGATGAGGTTTAAAAAGTGTTGGATATTATGGGAGTGACGATGGTGGAGAAGGAAGAATTGGTCTCTTATCAGCTTAAGGGTGTTAATCATATTTGTTTCAACAAATGAAAGAAAGAAACACCGTAAGATGCGGGTCCCCTAGAATGGAAAAGATTCATGGCTACTTTACTTGATAGGTTGTTTCCTCTTGATATGAGTGAGGCTAAGGTTCTTGAGTTCATGAATCACCAACAAATGAACATGAGCGTTAAAAAATATGCTTTGAGATTCACACAATTGTCAAGGTATGCTCCGTCTACACTGGCAGACTCTAGGGATAAAATGAGCAAGTTAATTTTGGGAGTGTCCAAATTGGTTATGAAAGAATGTCAAACCGGTATTATTGTCCATTGCATGGATATTAATCGCCTTATGGTTCTTACTCAAGAAATTGGGGACGAAAAACTTAAGGAGAAGTCTAGGGATTTAATGAGGGAAAGAAGTGATAATGGTAACTCTTTATACTCTAGGTTTGGTGGACGTGTTGCGTAGTTTCGTCAATGCTTTATGGGAAAGGTTCTCCTAATTCTTCTACAAGATTTAACAATGAGAGGGTGTCTAACCCTAATCCTCAGGGAGTAAATGGTAGCCTACTTATACTAGGTGTGGAATAAAGAATAAAGGTAAATGTCGAGTTCGAATGCTTGCTTTGGTTGTGGTGACACGGACCACAAGTTAAGAGATTGTCCTTCAGTTGCTAAGAATAAACAAAATAGTCATTGTAGGGATTAGCCCTATACTTCATTTGGTACAAGGAGTTCCAGTAAGAAATATAGGTTTTATGCACTTCAGACTCGTGCGAACAAGAGGGTTCTCCCGATGTGGTTATCTATATGTTGAAAGTTTTCTAACTTGATCTTTATGCTTTACTTGATCCCGATGCTTTTTTGTATTTTATGATGCAATATATGGCTATGAGGTTTAATATTCTCCAAGATGTGTTGTTATATGCCTTTTTGTCTCTACCTTTGTTGGTGATTTTGTTGTGGCTAAGATGTTCTATAGAAGATGTCCATCTGCTTATCCCATAGAGTTACTCTTGTTGATTTGGTAGAGCTTGATATTCTAGATTTGGATGTTATCCTTGGTATTGATTGGCTACTATTGTTATGCTTCTACAAATTCTAGAACCCGAGTGGTCAAGTTTCAATTTCTCAATGATCCTGTCCTAGAATGGAATGGGGGGATTCTATACCTAAAGGTCAGTTTGTTTATTTTCTAAAGTTTGGAATATAATTTCTAAGTGTTGAATTGAACATCTAGTTAGGGTGAGGGATGTAGATTTTGAAACCCCTATTCTTGAGTCAATCCTCGTTGTGAATGAGTTTTAAAAAGTGTTCCCAGATGGTCGATCTAGAATTTCTCCCAAAAGAGAAATAGAATTCGGTATTGACCTTCTCCCTGATACAAAATTTATTTCTATTTATCCTTATATAATGGCTCTGGGAGAACTTAGGAATTAAAAGAACAAATGAAAGACTTGTTGGATAAGCGTTTCTTCCGACCAAGTATATCCCCATGCGGTGATCCAGTTTTATTTGTTAGAAAGAAAGATGGTTCTCTCCGAATGTGTATAGACTATCATCAATTGAATAAGGTTATGATTAAGATTAAGTATCCTCTTTCAAGGATAGATGATTTGTTTGACCAACTTCAAGGATGAAGTTAATTTTCTAATATTGACCTCTAATCAGGTCATCACCACTTGAGGGTGTTTATACAGTACCTTGATATGTAAGTGATTGTGTTTATTGATGATATATTTATTTATCCAAGAAATGAATATGATTACATCAATCATTTGAGGATTGTGTTGCAAATCTTTAAGGAAAAATAATTTTTTGCGAAGTTTAGCAAACGTGAGTTGTGGATATGGTTTGTGGCTTTTATAGGTCACATTACTTCAAGTAAGGGTATTGAGGTAGATTGTAATAAGACAGATGCGGTCAAGATTTGTCCTAGACCTCTATCCCCTTCGGATATTAGAAGTTGCTTAGGTTTGGCTGATTACTATAGAAGGTTTGTTAAGGAATTTTCTACAATTTATTCTCCATTGATAGATGAAGTCAAAATAAATCTATGTTGATAAGGTCCAAAGCTTGTGCGAAGAGTTTTCAAGAATTAAAATATAAACTTACTTTCGTTCTGGTGTTGACTTTACCAGAAGGGACGAATATTTTGTTGTTTATTGTGATGTCTCAAGGATTGGATTAGGATGTTTACTTATGAAAAATTAGAAATTTATTGCCTACTGTTCAAGGCAACTTAAGATTTACCAAAACAATTATCCTACCCCTGACCTTGAACTAGCGATGGTTATTTTTGCCTTAAGGATTTTGCATTATTTGTGTAGTGTTTATGTTGACATTTTTGCAGGCAACAAGAGTTTGCAATATGTGTTAAACCCAAATTATCTAAATCTTCGCCAAAAAAGGTGACTTGAGCTATTTAAAGATTATGATGTCTGTTCTTTATCACTCGGTAAGGAGAGTATAGCGGCGGATGCTCTTAGTCGGTTATCTATGGAATGTATTGCTCATACCGATGATTATAGAAAAGAGTCGGTTCAAGATGTTCATAGATTGGACTGGTTGGGTGTTCAATTAGTAGACTATAAGTGGTGGAGTCATGATTTACAATGGTAGAGAATAATCTTTTTTGGCAGATGAGAAGACCAAGAAATGCCTTGATCTGACTTTAGCAGAATTTAAAGAAGCGGTGCTTAGAAAATCCGTTGAGGATTTCTCCCAAGGGGGAGATGGTTTAGTTAGATATCAAAACCGCTTATGTGTTTATAATATTGATAACTTGAGGAAATTAATCTTGTCAGAAACCCATAGTTCTCGATATTCCATTCACCCGGAAGCCACCAAGATGTATTGTGATTTGTGGGAGATCTATTGGTGGAAGGGGATGAAGAAGGATATTACTAGTTTGTGGCTAAATGTCCTAACTGCCAACAAGTGAAAGTAGAGGATAAAAAATCGGGAGTCTTGTCATGAGACATTAGTATTCCTACTTGGAAGTGGAAATACTTAAATATGGACTTCATAGTTGGGTTTCCAAGTACTTGACGACAATATGATTTGATTTGGGTTATAGCAGACCAATGATAAAATTAGATCATTTAATTCCCGCCAAGATTTCTTATATGACAAAATACTATGTCAAGTTGTATTTGAGAGAGATGGTAAGGTTGCATGAGTGCCCATGTCCATTATCTCTAACCGAGATAACCAATTCATTTTATAATTTTGGAAATCTTTTTAAAAGGGCCTTGGTACTCGTATTAAGCCTTGTACAACTTTTCATCCCCAAACCGATGGGCAATAGGAGATAACTATCCAAAATTTATAAGATAAGTTAAGAGCTTGTGTGATTGAATTCAAGATTAATTAGTAAAAACATTTTCCTTTGATTGAATTTTCTTATCACTCAAGGATTGGTATAACTCCTTTTCAGGAATTGTATGGTAAGAGGTGTAGATCTCCTATAGGCTGGTTTGAGGTGGGTTAAGTAGCCCTAGTAGGTCTCAAATTGGTACATTAGGTAAATAAATAAAGTTTTACTTTTTAGAGAAAGATGGAGAATAACCCAAAGTCGACAGAAGTCATATGCCAATGTTAGAAAAAGAGATCTTGAAATTGATTTGCCTTATTCGGTTTACTTCAAATATTCACCCATGAAGTGTGTAAATGAGGGTTGGTAAGAAAGGGAAGCTTAGTTTCCATTTTCTAGGTCCATATCAGATTTAGGACGTGTTGGTAAGGTTGCTTATGACCTTGAGTTGCCTAAAGAGTTGACATCGGTGCATCTTGTTTTCCATGTCTCTATGTTAAATAAATGTATTCGAGATACTAAATCAATAGTCCCCATAAAAGGTTTGGGATTTAAGTAGAATATTTCTTATGAATACATCCGGTGGAAATTTTAAACCTGCAAGTCAAGAAGTTGAAGAAAAAAGATGTTTGTTCCCTGAAAGTGTTATGGAGAAATCATTTAGTTAAGGTTTCCACTTAGGAGGCAAAGGCCAATATGATGTCCTAATATATTCATCTTTTTCCTTCCTCTCCTACTCTAGATTGAGGTATTGAGTTCCTCATGGTTTACTCTTTGGTTATCATGTGTGTTAGATATTCCCATGATTTCCTTATTCATGCATGTTCATGAAAGATTAAATTTTGAGAAAATGAGTCAACCTGATTGATTTCTACATGTTTATGTGCATTTAAGTGTGAATTGCATATAAACTATATGATATGATGTTTTGAACGTGTTTTTATCTTGTAGTTGATGTTTCCTCCTTAGATAAATGCATTTGAGCATGAGTTGCATATGAGTTTCATAATATGAAAATACGAGCATGCTTTAGCTTGGAGTTGATGTTTCCTCCTTGGATATGTGCATTTATGTGATTGCATGCATGATGTCCTACTAGTTTTGAGTCTTTTCTCTCAAAAGGTGTGAATCCAATTTGAGAATGAATGTTCCTAAGAGGAAAAAAATGCACCACCTCAGAATCCAGTAAACTAAAAAAGGGGCTAAGTGACAAGTCACAAGACAAAGAATTGAGCATGGGAATCTTTCACTACGAGGTGTGGTTTTACTTGTAGTGGCATAGGACTGAACCAAGGAAGGCTACCCTTTCACGAGCACCCAAATGGTTCGTTAAGAGCTCAACGGGACATGGTGATGGCTGTGGAGGGGAGGCACTAGCTAATAAAAAATTAGACCCTCCACACGAGCCACTAGATGGCTTGTGAGAGCCGTGACAGATCATGGAGTTGGTTATGGTAAAGGAGGATTTTACGGGGTGGAAAGCAAAGCCAATGGTCAAGGAACACGTCTGCAACTATGGGTCTGTGGTCCTTGACAGCTTGTGAAGAGGCTCGTGTGGGGGTTCAACAGTTTTTAATTAATAGCATATGGGTCTTTTCCAAGAATTTTTTACATTAAAGCTATGTCGTTTTTAACCAATACCTAGGACCCCTATATAAGTTATTTTATCCCCAAAACATACCCATTCAAGTCATTCTCTTATATTCACCAATAGAAATCGGGTTCTTCCTCTACAAGATATCTTTCTCTAGAAGTTTGAAGAAGAAGATTCAATCTAGGGTTCAAGGTTCAAGTCTCCATTATACCTTAGCTCTTGGGATTTAATAGCAAGGTATGATAGTGTTTCATCCATGGAATCCATAAGTCCATGGAGCCCCTAAGTTCTTCCAATTGAAAAGTGGAATTCCCCAAATTTCAGTTAGGATTTCCTTCTAAGTTGTGGGTCTTTGATGAATGCTTATTCAATTGATTAAAGTATGATTGTTTATGCATGAATTGAGATGATCCTATGTTTTAATGATGAATTTCCATGTACCCATGCGTAGCCCATGCCTAGAAGAAGAAATTGATGTAAATGGGTTTTATGCTATGAAAGGATAATTTATGGATTTAGATATATTCTTATAGGATTGATAAGGTACATTATGATTTTCTTTGATGTTGAAGCATATGTGATGATTAATGATAAGAATGGATTTGAGAGTAAAGTATATGTAATAATTGCTGATTGTTGATGTGATTGTTTTTTAAGGGATTTTCCCACATGATTGTTTTATGTTTGTATAGATGTGAAAGACTTTCTCACATTAAATGATTATAGGTTGGAAGGATTTCTAACCTAAATGAATCTAAGTTAAAAGACTATAAATTGATGAGGCAAGAGGTTATTACCCATGACCTCTAAATTAGAATAAAATATGAGGCAATTATCCATATTTCCTAGAATAGAATAAGAGTTGATTACCCTTATTCCATGAAGTTGAAAAAAAAATTACTACCAATGTTCTTATTATGTAATTTGGAAAGGTATGACTACCCATGATCCTAAATATCAATTGGACAAGAGGGGACTACCCATGATCCCAAAGTAAGAAGGATAAAATGCGACTGCCCATGATCCTTTATAGTTAGGCAAGTTACGACTCCCCATTTCTGTATAGTAATATATACAATGTATAATGTAATGATTAATTATTATCTTGGATTGTTTATTGAGTGCCTTCCATGATGAGTAAAACTAAAGGCGGTTACTCAAGTCTTGACTAAGGATGAACTTAGGTTACTTCAAGAAGTACTCATCATATGTTATGATGATCCATATGTGCATTTATTATGCTTTATCACTTATGTTGTCTTATGTTTATGTGTCTTTTATGCAAGATATAATATTTTGTACACCTTTGTACTAACACATACTCTTGCTCATATTTGTTATCCAAATGTAGGATCCAACGATCTCGATTCTTATCCCCGTGGATAGGATCCTTAGTAGAGGAAAGATTTAAGATTGGTAAGTCCTAATAGTATTCAAGGATTTGGACATTACTTTCCTTATGTTCTTTTCATCTTAGTTTTGAACAATGCTGTATAGGATGTTCCCAAGATTCTATCATATTAGATTGTGTTGAAATTGTTTTAAGTCACGTAGATTTCTATTATCTTCATTATGAAAGCTTAGTGGTTTCTATGAGGCCTCTCGGGGTCTCGTTTGCCATGTTACATCTAGGGGATACCAAGGGTTGTGACAAGATTACGCCCTAAATGAGTTAAAATCCCTGAATCTTCATCTATAAACGGGATATACGAACCATAGAAGGATCGGTTGTACGAAGAAAAATTTTGTGGAAAGTGGGACATATTTTGGGTTAAGTAATTTCTTTCACAGCTGAGCAGTATAGTCTGTATATAGTCCTACAAACTGTAGGTAAAAACTATGGACTTGTCTAACAATTATTAATTATTGGTGTTTTGATCTTTTCCTACCTACCAAAACCCTAAGTTATGTCGTTTGGCCCTACAAATTCCCCTATAAGAAATTTTACACTCTTAAAACTACCTATTACCTCACATTTTGTCAAATCCTCAAATTTCCTCCAAGTTCGTCCCCTCTAATTCTCTCTCAAGCCCCAACTTGTAAACTAGGGTTACAAGATTCAAGTTCTCAATCTAATTGCTTTCCTTAGGCTTTTATTGACAAGAAAGGTAGGAATTCACCAATGGACCACTTTCATCTGTTGGGTCTCAAAAAGAACTTCAATTTCCAATTAAATTTGACCCGATTCAATTAGGGTTTTATGTAAATATCCATGAGTTCTTTTTATTATGATTCAAATAATGTTATTCTATGTTGCGATGCATGATTTGAACAAATTACATGATTTATAATTGATTTCATATGACCCATTATTTATGCTTTGATTTTTGCATATGAACTAAGAACTTTGATCGAGAATTTGATAAAGGATTTATGTATATTTATGAAGATATGAATTACAAATAAAAGATGCTTTAATATAAGTATCAACTATTTTTGAAAGGTTTTCTCACACTTGAAAAGAAATCGTGACTCAGATGCTTAAGAAGGTAAGTGTCTATTTGAACAAATTTATGAAATCACGAGTTTGAAATAAGTTACTCTTATATGATAGTTTTCAAAATACTTAGTCTACATTTTCAGGTCACCCTACTCAACATGGTACTTCATCTAGTTGTGGAGGCAGACAATGTTAGAACATATTTTATGCTCTTCAGAATTTACCTGATTAGGAGGCCTCCTCTGATATAGACACTGGTATGTTGTGAGCCATTCCGTAAAATATTTATGACTTTAAGTCCGGGTGATACATTGGTGAATCCTTATGTTGCTATGAAGTCTGAGGTTAGTCCTGAAATCTCTGAAGAATGGTTTAGTCTCTACCCATGTCGATGATTCTGTTCAAATTAAACGGGTTTTCAGAAATTACAAGGTCTCAATTTGTTTTCGTACAAAATCACCTTAGTTGATGTAATATAGTTGTATATGATTTATTTTGATGTTATTCTTGGTATAGATTTTCTTCATACTTACTATTCCTCTATTGATAGTAGAAATATAAATGGTTAGGTTTGAGTTTCTGAATGAGCCGGTTATAGAGCGGGAAGGTATTAATTCAGCACTTAATGGTTGGTTTATCTCGTGCCTTAAGGCCAGAAAAATGATTTTTAAGGTTGAATCTATTATCTAGTTAGGGTTAAAGATATGTTTCCAGAACCCCTACTCTTGAGTTAGTCTTGTTGTGAATGAATTGAAACTATTTCCTGATGATTTTCCTAGAGTTTATCTCGGAAGAGAAATTGATTATATTCCTTATTTTATAATGTCTCCGATAGAAATTGAAGAGTTGAAGAATCAGTTAAACGACCACTTGTATAAGGGTTTCATTAGGCCACGTATTTATCCATTGGGTGCTCCAGTGCTCTTTATTTGAAATAATGATGGTTCTCTTAAAATGTATATTAATTATTGGCAATTGAACCAGGTCATGATTAAGAATTAATATCCCATCCCAAGAATAAATGATTTGTTTAATAATTTTTAGGGGTGCTAGAGTATTCTCTAAGATTGACATCAGAACATGTTATTTCAACTTATAGTGAGAGAATGTGACATTTGAACACAACCTTCAGAATTTTTATGGTTACTATGAATTTGTAGTTATGTATTTTAGACTAAATAATGGTCATGTAAATTTAATTGATTTGATGAGTAGTCTATTCAACAATACTTGGATATGTTCTTTATTTTTCCATTGATGAAATCTTCATCTATTCTCGAAATTAGGACAAACATGACAATCATTTGAGGATTGTCTTGCAAGTTCTCAAGAATCATCAGTTATTTGCTATGATTAAGAAGTGTGAATTTTTGTTAGGTCAGCATCATTTCATGGCCATATTGTTTCTAGAGAAGGTATTCTAGTTGATCCTTAGAAGACCTATGTAGTTAAGAACTGACCTAGACCGGATTTTCCCTTGGGCATTCAGAGTTTTTTAGATTTAGCCGGTTACTATAGATGGGTTCTTAAAGGATTTTCTTCTATTTCTTTGCCTTTGAATTCTTTGACTCAGAGATGTAAAATTTAAGTGGTTTGAAGCTTGGCAAAAGAGTTTTCAAGAGTTGAAAACTTGACTTTCTTTAGCGCAGATTTTGACTTTAGAAGATGTTTTCTATGGTATAATTGTGTATTGTTATGCCTTAAGGGTTGGAATTTCTTGTGTTTTAATGTGACATGGTAAGGTGATAGACTATGCTTCTAAGCAACTCGAAGTTTAAGAGAAGAATTGCCCAAGTCATAATTCACAGTTGTCAGTGGTGGTTTATGCCAAAAAATTATAGAGACAGTATATCTATGGTGCTACTATGGATATGCTCACAGAAGAGTCTTTAATATGTATTTAAGTAAAAAGATTTGAAACTTCGCCAAGGAGGTGGCCGGACTTGTTAAAAGATTATGATATGAGTGTTTTTACCATCCAGGATGCCTTTCAGTTTTTACCATTTTAAAAAATATCTATCTTATGGTTCCCTTTATCATATTATTATTGTTGTTTCTCTATTAGATATGTCTAGTTTTATTAATGCATGTTATTTGGGTTTTAGATTGCCTACTAAGACTAATGGTAGGTGCCAATCATGATTCGCTTTTGGGGCATGATACTTTCTGCACTTGTTACTAATTTAAGTTGTTCTTTTATCCATACAAGTGTATTGTGTTTCTACTAATATTACTTTTTAACCTTTGGCTGAGTGCAGATAGGAATCCAGAGTCTTCTAGCCCAAACATCTTTTCCATTAATATTGAACTTAGCAATAGGTTTTGTGCTCAAAATCTAATCAATGGTTGAAACATCACGAACCACCATTTGGGCATATAACAAAAGTTTTGATGAAGTTGGTGGAGGCATATGCACATCCTCAACAAAATCTATATATTTTGAGTTAAAGAGTTCAACCACTTCTTTTTTAGTCATATGTTCACCCCTTGATAATGTCAAAAACATAGTCCTATCGTCAACTTGTGATTTAGGTTTCAAGGACCAAATATTTTCCAGTGGTCCGTTCTTATTCGGGATAATATAATCCAAACTTCTGAGAATCACTGTTATGATACCAAATGTTTGATGAGGGAATCCAGGGACATGGATGGGAAAATTCAGGGGCACCTTTGGATATCCTTTTGACAAGACCCAAACTAAAATATCTGCAAAAACGATGGAACATACATCGTTTAAGTAATTTTTATTCCACTTTTCATGGTGAACCTAATTTTGTAGAAATTATGTAATGAAATTGCTCTATCCATAACCATAGCAGTAATTGTCATACCCCTTGCTAGATTTGATTTAGGGGAACCTTTGATTGCACCCACCTCAAGCACATGACCGCTTCTTTTGCCAGTAGATTGATTTCCATGATAGGTACAACTAAAAATTTAACAATTAAATTCAAACAACTCACATGGTTACGTAGCCATAGACACATAGCCATTTCTAAAAGAGACATACCTGGAGCATGATGTAAGATCAGGACCAACCTAATGAAGAGTTCTTGATCAAAACTATGGAATGAATGCAGGTCTTTGAGGGTGATGCTTTTTGATGCCATTGTTGTGTACCAGTAATGAAAGGGTGATCTCATAGCCTTTATATAACATTGGAAGGAGTGACTTTAAATTTGTTAGACTTTTTTATTCCTTAATTCACTTGCCAAAATTAATTTGTAGTTAATGAAGATACAACTCCTTATGCTTATTCTACTTTACATTTTATGATTTATTATTTACTTACCAAAAAGAAAAATTTTAATAAATGATGTATACAATTTAGATTTGGAATTTTATCATTTAATTTTATTGACTTGATCTAAGTTATAGTGAGTAAAATAAAGGTAGAATTCTGTATGAATCCACATAGCTATATGGTAAGCTAAAGAGTTAATTATAATGGTGCGTTATACTATTTTGAATTTTTGAACCCCTTTTTAGATTTCTCTACTTAACGTTTGTAGGTTCATGTTATTAGACACTTAAACATGTCTAATATTGAACAAGTAGACACACAAACATTAGAGACATTTTCTTTGAATCCCAAAGACTTCGCATGGTTAGAGACAATGAATTACTCGTGAATCAAATGTATGATGAGTTAGAGATTTCGACTTATTTAGGGCTTTATTTTGATCATTGTAGTATCCTCCAATTCCTAATTTATACTCTAAACTGATATTTAAGTGTTGATTTGCAACATTTAAGGTTAAGAATCAAGGTAAGGTTACTACTGGACAAAAAGAAACAAATAAGATAAAGAAAAGAATAAAAGCGATCCTGGTGATCACCAAGACCACAAGGCGAACCGCCGAGTATATCTTTAGCCATCCAAATTTCCAATGTGCCTGCCCTGGAAATAACGAACTTGGCAACAAAAACAGGTAGTCGGCGTATCGTCGTTCTAGTCTGCGATGGCAACCTCAATCGTCTAAAGTCACAAAACCCTGAAGACAAATGGCCAATGCAAACATACTATGGAAGGGAACAAAGGGAGAATCATCAACCAGTTCACTGAGGCCCGAATTACCTCGCCCAATGACCTTTTAGGCCAAAAGTTGGAGAACAATAAATTGAATTTTAAAACAAAATTTGAGATTTCAAATTTTCTCTTAGTTTTTGAGTTCCGTTGAATACTTTGAAGCTTTTTGAGGCTCAAACTTGAAGATTTACAAGTGGATTTTTCAATTTATTCAATTTGGACCATTGTAAAGACTTGAAACCTGTATTTAGATTATGACTAATGTATTTGGTAATCAATTCTCTATTTTTATGATGTGTAGCTAAAACCCCAATTTTTGGGGTGTGAGCATGTGTTTGCTATTTAATTACCTTATGGATATTGTTGTTAAATGATGAAATTGTTGTGTTAATGTGGGTTTAATCAATAGTTGTGTTTAAATCTAGGAATTGTAATTGCAAATGCAATTCTAGCATAAAGTTCTTGGCTTGCTTGAGAGCGAGGTTTTAGAACTAAAGCTTTTGATTAATGATTGTAGGTATTGGGTTGATATGAGTTCAATTTGAGAGAGTGAATCTTAAACCCAATTCTACCTGTAAAGCTCGAGAGAGTGGATACATTAAGGTTGTGGGGGTATTTACCTTGTTAATGTAACATTCCAGAAAATAATACGTTTAATGAAAATCCCATTAGGTTCTTAAGAATGTCTATCACGGGTAAATATGCATCCCAATTCCCAATATTGAGAAATATTGGGCATATTACAAAATTATGGGCATAGTAGAAAATGATGGATTAGAGAGTGTTAGCCGTATTTTCAAGTATATATGAGTTTGTGTAATGAATGTACCTGAAATGAAGACTCTAAGATAATTAAAAATTCGTCTTTACATATCATATGAACTACTAGGCATCCAGTGTCAAGCCTAGTACCATAACACATGACAATTTAAAAGAATAATGTAGATTAAACAGTGCGCAAGGACATAGTGAGAATACTTAGGACAATAAGTAAACATTCTCAAATGAACCATAAATAATATTTAATTAGGAAATTTCAACCAACCGATGTGCAAGCACGTGTGCAAGACATGTGAAGAAGCTGACAAAGAAGGGGACCACCCTAACCGAATTCGATTAGGGTAGTTAGGGGGGAAAACGTGCACAAAGGACCACTCCATGTGGGTCCTAACCTCCATACCAGTTATACAATCTAACCTACTGCCCTAAATAAGTAAATAACCTAGGTTTAACCTAATTGGATCCATTAGTGCACCCGACAACCTAGGACCAAAATTGGGTTGACACTAACCTAGTACTAGTTAAAGACACAACCTAGTACCTAATCTAGGATGGTCCAAAAGGTTAGTTATGGTACAAAAAAATTAAGGGTAATTTAGTAATTACCTAGGTTACCTAATTAATTAATTTAGCAAATTAATTAATTAATTTAAAAGGACTAAAACTGAAATAAAAAGGAAATTTTTAGATTTCAGTTAAGACGAGAAAGTGAGAACCTAGTACCTAACCTAGGATGGTCCAAAGAGTTAGATAAGATCCTAACGACTTAAGGGTACTTTATTAATTACCCTAGGATACTAAATGAATTAATTTGTACGCTTAATTAATTAATTTAAAGGGGCAAAACCGAAATCACAAAGCAATATCAAGATTTCGGTTAAAACAAGAAAAAGACATTCTAATACATAATCTAGGATGGTTCAAAGGATTAGTTATGGTTATAATTAATTGAGGGTACTTTATTAAATATATTAGGTCAATTAATTAATTAAATTATCTATTTATTTAAATTAAATTAAATGATTCAAATCAAAATTCTTAGACTAACCTAGTATAATTCAACAAACATCCTAGTACTTAACCTAGGATGGTCCTAAAGGGTTGATTATAGTTCCAATGACTTAGGGATACTTTAGTACTTACCCTAGGTATATAAATTAATTAAATTAAGGATTTAATAATTAATATAAAGTGAAAATGTTTACCGAAACCATAGTCAACACAAATTTCCAGATTTGACTAAGTGTTATGTTCTTCTATCTTTAGTCAACTTAGGAGGGGCGTTTTAGTAATTAGTTAATTAATTTATTTAATTAAATTATTAAAAACTAAGTTTAATGAGTCAATATAAATTCGTAAACCTAAAAATAACTTTCAAACTCAAAGACAAAAAGGACGCAAAAACAGTAAGCAACGAACGCAAGAAAAAGGCAGAAAACTTATCAATTTCTCTAGGGAGATTTCAAGGTGTCTTCAAAGTTTCGTTCAAGGTGGTCTTCGTAGGTTAAGTTCTACATAATGTATGGTTTTCTCTCCTAGACTTATTTCTCCAACAGAAATTTCTTTCGAATGATTCAAAGATCTTGAAAACAAGGGTTGTTTCTCGTCGTTCTTGTCGAACTCCTTTCCCTAGTATCCTTGTTACGATTTCAATGTTCAATAGGTTAGAAATCATGTTGTTGGTATGTGGTTCTGGATGATCTTAATGTGTATGATTTTTGATTAAATAATGATTGAATGAACCTATTCATTGGACTCGTTTGATGCTAAGTGTTATTAGGTGAATTAAAAGAATGATACTATTTTAAAGATATGTCCGAAAATATTATATATGAAGATGTTAAGGTCTGTTGTGCATACTTATTGTCAATATGAGGTTATAAAGATGATATATTAATCAAATGCTAATAGTATTATGTCCAAGATGTTTAGAAAATTTTATACCTAAATTAATGTTATGAGGTAGCTAAAAAGATCTCTGTGAAATCATAATTTGAGTGAATGTTTGCCTTATGCCAATAAAATGGCTAACAAAAACATTGTTCAAAATTTAAATGGGAATTGGATATAATATTATCTCTAAATAAGAAAAAGATTGGCTAATGTATAATGTATAAAAACTTAAGCTTGTTGAACATGAAAATTGGCTTACACCAACAAATATGGTTATGAAATCTATGCCCAAATGTTTATGCCAATACTAATTGTATTCCAATAAAATGGATAACGATACATTGTCTAAAAGTGATGTATGTAAATGGCTATAATATTATGTTAAATAATTAAGAGATTGGCTAATGGTTCATACATATTAAATTTAAATATGAACATACGTAAAATTGGCACATGTCAACAAAAATGGTTATGTAGTTTAATATTCAATGGTTGAGGCCAATAATTATCATATGCCGATATTGTGTAGTTAAAGTAAATGATAATATAAGAAATTCTAAACTAATTCAATGAACCCATAATCAAGGGCATGCCACTCATTGGGACAACTCCCAACATACTCTAAAGAATAACATATGAACTCATGAAACTAATTGAATGAAGTGCTCTCATCCATAAACGATGATATCAATCTACTACACTAAAGTACGTAAATAAAGTGAATTAAAATATAATTAAAGGGGTCTAAAGTAAGTTAGTGACCAGAATGGGGTGTTAAATAAAGTGAGACAAGTCTCACTACACCTAAGCTACTATGTTAAAAGAATACTCACGTATGAAGGTGTTAGAATGTGTAAGCCAGTCTCATCAACACCAAAGGATCATATAAAAAGAAAATTCACATTTCATCACTGCAAAGTAAGGATGACCAGTCATAAATAGAGTAAGTAAATCTCAATCTAGAAGCAAGCCTCTGTGATGCTTGAGTCAATACTATAACATAAAGAAGAAATGAACATTCACGTAATGAGGTGAGTAATTATGTTAATATATGATGCTAATGAAAATGGTGACGACATGATAAGAAGTTAAGATGAATGGTGAGACAAGTCTCAACCAAGCCTAAGTAAAGGTCTCTGAAAGTACTCACCTAAGTGAGTGTTGAATATCAAGAGACAAGTCTCAATCAAACTCTATATGTAAGTGTAAGGACAATTCACACTTAATACTAATGATGAGATGAAAATCATCAGCAATGATGCTCTCATGCTAAAAGCCATCTTCCATGATGTATGGTTGAATGTAATGAAACTTTATATTGAGCACCTATTGGCTAGATATGAGCGTCGATGCCTTCCTTTGAGAAGGGCGGAGGTTCTCGTAACTCTCATGAGATGAGACTGTCCGACATGCCGGGTATGGGTCTCCTTATATCTCCTAGTCTTTGAACCTATACTGCCAATATAGGGATCTAGCAGGGTTCGACTCCCTATATACGCTAGCATGTTTGGGTCACTTTATTCGGTGATTCCACCTCTTTTCGGTGTGGGGTAGACACTGGATTTCATGATGCTCAAATGATCTATGTCGGTTAAGGTTAAAGTTCACAAAGAAAGAATGAGGCCAG